GCTATTCGCTTGCAAGTGACATCCCAGCTTTCTGAAATCCCCTGCCTTGTTTACCAGTTTTCTGAGATGCCACTGCCTTCCTCTTAATACAGTTTTTGGGAAAGGCAGCACACAGACGACTTTCTCCCTTTAGGACATCGTCGCCTGTACATTAGCAAAGAGGAGGCCCAAAGGACAGCCACCTCCTAGAGCTGCCTGCCACCTCTGGGTTGGGAAATGCCTGGAGATTTTGGGGGTGAAGCCTGAGAGGAGGGTGGGGTTTGCGGAGGACAGGGACCTCAGCAGGGTGCAGTGCCATACATATAATGCCATACAGGCCACCCTCCAAAGCAGCCCTTTTCTCCAGGGGAAATGATCTTGATTGTCTGGAGATGAACGGTAATAGTGGGAGATCTCCAGGTACCACCTGGATCTTGGCAACCCTCCCACCTATTCCTTACAATTTCCCTTCTGGAACAAAAAGTACCCAGGGCATAAAACAACCCCACAAAAATCAACTGGATTCGAAATTGGGGTGTTTTTTTGTTTGTAGTCACAACTTGTGACTCCAAAGGATAAGTTGGATAGTTTAATAAATGAAATTTGGTCCCAAGCAGTGGTATGTGTGTGCCTGAAGGCTCAAGATGGACCCCACTGGCTTAGGGAATCCTCCAGGGAACATTTTTTGTTATTGTTGGGGGTGAGGGGGGGAGGTAGGGTTGCCTTGCCAGCTCCTGGTGGGGAAATAACCTGGAGATTTGGGAGGGGGTGGAGCCTATGGACATTGGCTTTGGGGAGGGGAGGGAATTTAGCAAGCATGTAGTGCCAACCTAGCAGTTCGAAAGCAAGAAATTGCAAGTAGATAAATAGGTACCACTTCGGTGGGAAGGTAACAGCGTTCCGTGCGCCTTGGTGTTTAGTCATGCTGGCCACATGACCACGGAAATGTCTTCGGACAGTGCTGGCTCTTCGGCTTTGAAACGGAGATGAGCACTGCAACCCTAGAGTCGAACTCGACTGGCTTTCGAGCAAGGGAACCTTTACCTTTACCGTTAGCGCCATAGAGAGTCCACCCCCCAAAGCAGCCATTTTCCCCAGGGGAAGTCATCAATGTCGTCTGGGAAACAGTTGTGATTCCAGGAGATCCCCAGGTACCACCTGGAAGCTGGCAACTCCTGACGGTGGGGTGGATTTCCGAATATGTTCCTCCTTCCCAGGATTCCTTGCCAGCCCCCAGCATGTAATGATATATATACATTTATATAGTGAAGGAAGGCCTGGCGGGAGCTGGTCCATGGGGTCGCGAAGAGTCGGACTAGACTGTGCGACTGAACAACAAATTAAAATCCATATAGTAAGAATAGACAGGAGGAGAGGGCTCTAGCCCTCTGGTGCAGCAAGTGATGGAAAACTTCAGAGTGGGGCCATTTCCAGCAGTGAGTCTCTTGCTTCTCTGGGTGAGCACTCTGTAATTGTTTGTATCATTTCTACCTTGTTTTCTCCCCAAAGGAGACCCGAAGCAGCTTACATCGTTCTCCTCTTTTCCATTTTGTCCTCACAACAACCCTGTAAGGTAGGCTAGGCTGAGAGATCATGACTGGCCCAAGGTCGCCCAGCAGGCTTCCATGGCAAAATGGAGATTCAAACCTGGTTCTCCTCGATCCTGATTTGACACTCTGATCACTATATCACACTGGGTGTCTCTTCAGGAATGCTGGCTTGTTTCTGGGCAGAGGCTCTCTGCTTTCTAACACCCAAAATCCAACAGGTGTAACTTTCCTTAAGAAGGGAAATGGTGTGATGGGAGGCTGCACTGCTGAATTTCTGCTCAATGGAGAGCTGTTAGAAGCCTTTGTCAAGAAGAATAAAGACATCAGCCCAAACTTTTGTTTTCAAACAGTCCTAGTCAAATAATGGCCGGAGGGTATTTGGTACAGCCACCTTGGTGGAACTGAGCGTGTCTGGATCTGGTCAGTGTCTAGATAGAATACCACCCAGGAACCCTTGTATACTGCTTCAAGTTCCATACTTGAAGAAAGAAAGAAATAACAGTAATAATAAAATCCTGGAGTAGCGACATATGGAAACGATTGTGGTCTCCGCTGGCAGGCTGGGCCACTGCTAGATGATGCAGCATCCCTGAGAATTTCCAGGGAAAGCCACAGCTATTCGACCAACAACTAGAGGTACCACAGTCTGCAAATGTGCAGAGAATTATAGAAAATATGACTGTGAAAGAAAACACAAAAAACAATTCAAAAGTCTGTCTTAAACAAAGTGTAATTATTACCTACTTATTTCAAAATAAATGCAATTTGTTGTTGTTGTTGTTCAGTCGCACAGTCGAGTCCGACTCTTCGCGACCCCATGGACCAGATCACGCCAGGCCTTCCTGTCTTCCACCGTCCTCTGAAGTTTGCTCAATTTCATGTTCGTTGCATCTATGACACTGTCTAACCATCTCATCCTTTGCCGTCCCCGTCTTCTTTGACCTTCAATCTTTCCCAGCAAGAAATGCAATTATTTCTTAACAAAACTATTCATCTAATACAAAACATATTCCAAAGAATCGCAATCAAGCAGCAAAGGAGCAGTCATCCAAATCATGAGTTTACAAAAAGTAAACCAATTACTCGCAAGTAGATGGCAAGAAAATAATCAACCTGTTCAAATTCTGCAAGGGTTATGAGATACTCAAATAGGTCTGCTTCCAGGCCAGAGTGTGAGATCCAAAGTCCAAAGTATGAAATCTAACAGTGAGATTTCTGGATTCAATTTTACTCATTTTGAATAAACAAATATCTTCTTCAGTGATTTCATGAAGTTTAAGCAGTAAGGAGCAATGGGGTATAACCCCAGGGTGGCGTATTAACTCCATTCATAGAAAGACGCACAGTAACACACAATACTAAAGGGTTATGAGATACTCAAATAGGTCTGCTCCCAGGCCAGAGTGTGAGAACCAAAGTCCAAAGTATGAAATCTAACAGTGAGATTTCTGGATTCAATTTTACTCATTTTGAATAAACAAATATCTTCTTCAGTGATTTCATGAAGTTTAAGCAGTAAGGAGCAATGGGGTATAACCCCAGGGTGGCGTATTAACTCCATTCATAGAAAGACGCACAGTAACACACAATACTAAGGCACCAATCCAATTTCTTACAGAGACCAATGGTTCAAAAGATTTATAAACTTCAGAAATTTCTTGAACCGTTGGTCTCTGTAAGACCTATTTGAGTATCTCATAACCCCTGCAGAATTTGAACATTTTGAGAACATTTTGATTGTTTTCTTGCGCCTACTTGTGAGTAATTGGTTTGTTTTTTGTAAACTCATGATTTGGATGATTCTTACTTTGCTGCTTGATTGCAGTTATTTGGAATATGCTTTGTATTAGATTAATGGTTTCGTTAAGAAATAATCACATTTATGTTGAAATAAGTAGGTAACAATTACACTTAGTTTAAGACAAACTTTTAAATAGTTTTTTGTGTTTTCTTTCACAGTCATATTTTCTATAATTCGCTGTAGCTATTTGACCGCCAGACCAGAATTCTCTTGCTTTAAAAAATGTTGCAGGGCCCAATCCTGCTCAGGACTGCTGCACAGGGATGAGGAGGAGGTCCCTCCCCCAATTATTAGCTAAAATTTGGCTTTTGTTGATCATCACGGTATCTCAAACACGTTTGCAACTGATGGGTCATTAGTAATGCCAGCACTAATCTATTACTTATTTGAGGATATCCATGGCCCTTTAAATATAAAGCAGTGCGTCACCTATACAGTCAGCTTCTCCCCCTCCCCACAAATGATGCCAAGTAGCAGCCGGCTTAAGGCAATCCCGTATGGTTTTCAAGGCAAGAGAGGTTTAGAGGTGTTTTGCCATTGCCTGCCTCTGCGTAGTGACCCTGGACTTCCTTGGTGGCCTCTCATCCAGATACTGATCTGGGCCGACCCTGCTTAGCCTCTGAGACCTGATGAGATCAGGATAGCCTGGGCTGTCTAGGTCAGGGCAGTTAACTTTTTGTATATTCTATTTTTAGAACTTAGAACTTACTCAACTTTTAGAATATATATTCCCCACCCCCAAATCTCCAGGGCTTTCCCAACCTCGATCTGGCAACTCTAAGGGGGAAGTGTAGTTGGGACATCTGTTGTGATTTCAGGAGATCTCCAGCCCCCGCCCAGAGGTTGGCAACCCTCGAAGAGAAGGAAGCAGGAAAGGGGGAGGGACTAAGGAGGCTATCAGGAAAGGGAAAGGGGGGGGGGGAAAGGGGATGCCTCCCGCAAGTCCTTGCGAGTTCCCACTTGTTCAGTGCAAGTAGCCTGCTTGAGGAAATCCATACAGCTACCTCAGCCCTCTGGACACAGCTCTGCAAAAGAACATGTCCTTTTCTTCCATGCAAGAAGGCTCAATTCTTGGCATCGCCAAGTTAAGATGGTCGCAGTAGTGTGGGTGGGAAAGACATCTGAGATCAGTCAGTTTGGGTAGCATTGCCAGGGCAGGACCATTGGTCTGACTCTGGATCAGGGGGTGCTCTTTAGCGAGTGACTCCCCACAGTGCCCCCCACAATGGAGGAGGGAGAGAAAAACAGCAGGCTGCCATGGTTCACACCCGTCCTGTCTGGGTCTTGGACCACCTGCTTGTAGCAACAGTCACTTGTGCTCACTCTGTCCAGGGCTTGATCCACCAACTCAGCAGCAGCTACTTGCACCCACTCTGTTAGAGGACCGGGGAATCAGCTTCTGACAATGGCTCCCACCTGTCTCACATGCTCAGCTCTGGCAAGAAAGGCTGTGTGTGGGGTGTGTGTGTGTGCAGTGATTTTGTGGTCCAATCCTGGACTTTTGGCCTGGCCTCCAGAATCACTTAAACCGCTCCTGCTCAAGATCAAGCAGCTTCATGTGCTGAAATATGTTTTGCAGGGAGGAAGCAAAAACACACACAAAAAACCCCTTGCTGGCATTGAGAAAAATGAGCCCCAGTTGTGAGCTGGTCCCTTAGGTTTTCAGATACCTTCGCAAACACATCCACAGCCTGGACAGTGTTCTGGGCAGCCGGCCCACAGATCCGACTTCCGCAGCCAACATTCCTCTGCTGCTCAGTGCTGCGCAGAATTTGATTTGGCTGCTTGCAGGCTGCCATCTTGCTGCAATGCAAAACCACATTAGGCTTCAGCCGAGCTGTGCTCCAGTGGTCTTGAGGCCCAGGTCTGTTTTTGAGACCGGGAAGGGATTTTGCCTTTGGTTAGACTGGCTGGCATTTGAGACCCAGGAGCAGAGACCAGGGGCAGGAGGGCACTGGCTTCGATTTAGCTCAGCCACATTGGTCATCTGCAGCTAAACATTTATAACCCCACCCAGGGCTTTTTTTGTAGAAAAAGAGCAGCAGGAACTAATTAGCATAACAGGCCACACCCAACAGCAGGAACTCATTAGCATAGTAGGCCACACCCTGACAGCACAGCACATTAGCATATTAGGCCACACCCCCATGTCACCAGAAGTGTTGTCATCCAGCCACACCCACCTTTTTCTTCTTATTCTGTTTACCTTGTTTGTTGTCAAAACCCAGGGCTTCTTTTGTAGCAGGAACCCTTTGCATGTTAGACCACACACCCCAAATGTAGCCAATCCTAATGAGTTTCTGCTGTTGGGTGTGGCCTATTATGCTAATGAGTTCCTGCTGGGTGTGGCCAACTTAGGAGCCAGACGGAACTCCGTTCCTGTGCGTTCCTGCCCAAAAATAGCCCTGACCCCACCTTTTCCCAAATATTAAGACGCAAGGCAGGCATTGTAAACATCTCTTAACTCTGCAGTGGCTTTTCTGTGTATGTTGAACTGGATTCTTTCAGACTTTAAGTGCTCCTTATTGTATGAAAGTCCATCTTGAGTCAGTATTTGTGGGTGTGGCTCCTTAACCTAATTCCTCCTCTTTCAGCATAACATGCCGCCCAGCTGTTTCCTTCAAGGCCCTCTCCTCTGGGTGTGTATTTTTCCTTCTTCCAAACCTAGTGCTTCTTAAACTAACAGACACCTACAGGCATGGATGAAATTGACAAAGCTTTTGCCATGTGGAAACTGAGAAGACTCTCATTGGACTTTGCCAGGTTTCACCAGAAAGGTATTGGTGCTGTAAAGGGCTGCCAAGTGTCACCTGACTTATGATGGCCCTTGCAGGGTGTGCAAGGCAAGAGGCGAACAGAGGTCTGCAGACCAACCCTGGACTTCCTTAGCGGTCTCCCATCCAAGTACTCACCAGGGCTGATCCTGCTTAGCTTCTGAGAGATCTGAGGACACCAGGCTACCCTGGGCCATCCAGGTGAGGGCAGAAAGGGGGTGGAGGTGGGTAAATGTACGGTGCAGAAACAGGGAGGGGGAGGAGACTGCTCCCAGGCAGACAGGATGGAACCATACCCACCTCTACTTTTCAGAGCAGCATATTCCAGCCCTTGAGCAAGCCAAACAGGAGAGCCTCTTGACTGGCCCAAGCTGTAAGGAATCTGGTGACACTTAGTGAGAAGAATTTAAGGTCAGCATTCAGGTAAGAAAGCGATGGCCAACCTAGACAGCATAATAAAAAGTACAGCCATCACCCTGCCAACCAAAGTCCGCATGGTCAAAGCAATGGTATTCCCAGTAGTCATGTATGGCGGCGAGAGCTGGACCGTAAGGAAGGCCGAGCGCCGACGAATAGATGCTTTTGAATTATGGTGCTAGAGAAGACTCTTGAGAGTCCCTTGGACTGCCAGGAGATCAAATCAGTCAATCCTAAAAGAAATCAACCCTGACTGTTCCCTGGAAGGCCAGATAATGAAGCTGAAGCTCAAATACTTTGGCCTCCAAATGAGAAGGGAGTCCTCACTGAAGAAGACCCTGATGCTGGGAAAGATTGAAGGTCAAAGAAGACGGGGACGGCAAAGGATGAGATGGTTAGACAGTGTTATCGAGCACACTCTGGAGGACGATGGAGGACAGGAGGGCCTGGCGTGATGTGGTCCATGGGGTTGTGAAGAGTCAGACTCAACTGTAATACTGAACAACAAAAAATGCACATAAACTAAATGGGGAAAGGGTTGGATATCCCATGTCATTTTGAAAGCACTGGGTAATGCATATGCATTTGGGAGCCTGGAAAAGATGCAGCGTTCTCCTACTTTCTTACAACTTTGGAGGATACCACACCCTGCATTCCCCAAAGGATGTTACTGTCAAGTGAATGCTAACCCAACATCAGCTACTATATCTACAGGTTTTGTCTACAGGTACAGCAAAATGGGTCTTCTTGTCTCATGGCTGCTTCCATGTCAAGACCTAAATTCTGTTATGATTTTCCTTTGCCTGCCAATTTATAGGGAACTAGCACAGGACCCACAACTAAGAAATGACCATGTATGTGGGGGGATTTCAGAGTTCAGTTTTCTTGGCACTGACTGAGAATGTAGTGGTGGACACATGCTTGAATGCTTCCACACATTAAAAAAAATCACCTTGCCAGTAGAAAGCTAGTCCATCAGGGAGGTTTTAAGCTCAACTTTCTCTCCCTTTTAGTTTTGATGGCACATGTGGCTTTTATGTGAGGAACCAAGCATGCTCTCCTCTGGCCAGCCCAAAATCCACAATGGCACCTCCCGAATGGTGAAAGCAGGTATTACTCAAAAACTTTCCTGCCCTCTGGTGGTACTTCAAAACTTGAGGCATGTTGTCTCACCTTAGCAGTACGGTCAACCCTTTCCACACCCATTCTGAAGTGGTACCATCTGCTTCTGCTGAAGACACAGTAGGGCCAAAAGCACAATTTTCTCAGTTGTCCCAGAGCATATGAAGGGCAGGGATCAAGAACACAGAGCACAATTAAGGCAGGAAAACCACTTTGGCTTTAGCTGTGCCTTCTATCAGGAATATTATCATGGCAAATCAGGTCCCTTTTAGAAAAAGTTTGAGTCCAGTGGCACCTTTAAGACCAACGACGTTTAATTCTGGGTATAAACTTTCATGCGCATGCACACTGCACATGTACACAAAAGCTTATACCCAGAATTAAACTTCATTGGTCTTGAAGGTGCCGCTGGACTCAAACTTTGTTCTGTTGCTTCAGACCGACATGGTTACCCACCTGAATCAGGTCCCTTTTACCATTCTGCCCAAAGCCTCACTCACTTTATTCGTCTTTCTTTTCCCAAGCTTTACTTAGAGCTAGTTTGGTGTAGTGGTTAAGAGTGGCAGACTCTAATCTGGAGACCTAGGTTTGATTCCCCACTCCTCAACATGCAGCCAGCTGGGTGACCTTGGGTCAGTCACAGTTCTCTCAGAGCTCTCTCAGCCCCACCTACCTCACAGGGTGTCTGTTGTGGGGAGGAGAAGGGAATTGTACGCTGCTCTGAGACTCCAAGTGAAGGGCGGGATATAAATCCAACTCTTCTTCTTCTTCCTTCTATGGCTCTACCTGACTAATTTACCCTGAGTCATCTGAGACAAAATTCTCTTGACACCAGCTGTGGCAAATGATAACTTGCAACATCAATGTTGTTTTTTTTAAAAAAACTATGAAGTTGGGAGTGGCCTTATTAGATGATCAAAGGGCAGATACCCTTTAATGCGAACACAGAGCTAGTTGTGCGCTACCATCACAATGTTAGGCCTCTGAACAGAGATGCGTTGCAGGCCGAAATGCTCGCTTGCTTTTTCCTGAACATGTGCACTGGCATTTTACTTTGCAGCATTGATATGAAACTGTTTCTTCCTTGGAAACTGGGGGGGGGGGGGGGGGGGGAGTGGGCAGGTTTTGCTCCCCTGCAAGAAGCGCCTCCTCTCTCCACAATAAGGCAATACTCAGGAAATATCCCACGCTGGGAAGCTACATGGCTGAAAACCATGGTACGTGTGGCTCAAGTTTCACAGCTTCCAAGGGGCACATCCAGGGCTATCTTTGGGTAGGAATGCACAGGAACGGAGTTCCAGCTGGCTTCAGAGTTGGCCACGCCCACTACAGCCAAAACCTCTGTGTGCATGGCTACAGAGGGAAGGCCTGGAAAGCAACCCCCTGTGCCTCCCCGTGCCTCCCCCAGCCTGTCCAAGGGCCGGCTTGCCCGGGCTCCCTGCAGCTGCGGGGCACCCAAGCAAGCAAAGGCAAGGTGTGGGGTGTGGCCTAATACGCCAACGAGCTGTAGTGTCGTGGGTGTGGCCTAATATGCTAATGAGTTTCTGCTGTTGGGTGTGGCCTATTATGCTAATGCATTCCGCTGGTCTTTTTCTACAAAAAAAGCCCTGGGCACATCCTTGTTAAAAGGTACACGGAAACACAGAGACGGAAAGCCAAATTCACACTGTAGTTGTGGTTTGCTATGTGGTGGCAGAGAGCTCGTCCCCTCTTACCACCCCTCTCCTCGGCACTCACCGACCCACCACTCCTTTTCCTGTGCAACGGCCCCACGTGTTTTATGCTCTCGTGAGATTCCAGCCCAAGTTGTGTCTACCGAACCAAACCCAGGTTCAAAATGGATTCTGTTTTATCCTGCCAGAGTGGTGTTCCCATTGGTTCCCACCAGGACAACAACTGGGCCCGTACCGCCTTAGATTCCCTCTGGTGCTTCTTAAATAACTGCATTGCCGCCTACCCAAGTGGCACTGGGAGCCATTCTCATGGGAAGGGGAGTTAGGGAAATTTGGAGGACAATCCTAAGGAGAATCACACCCTTCCAGGCCCAGTGGCATCAGCAAAGGCCAGAACTCTGCTTAGGAAGCCAATATTAGAGAAGAAGAAGTTGGATTTATACCCCGCCCTTCACTTGGAGTCTCAGAGCGGCTTACAAACTCCTTTCCCTTCCCATCCCCACAACAGACACCCTGTGAGGTGGGTAGGGCTGAGAGAACTCTGACACAAACTGCTCTTTCAGGAACAGCTGTGCCAGAGCTTGTGACTGACCCAAGGTCACATCAGCAGCTGCAAGTGGAGGACTGCGGAATCAAACCCGGTTCTCCCAGATTAGAGTCCGCACACTTAACCACTACACCAAACTGGCTCTCTTTCTGGAAATTTTCAGTTGCCACTCCTGTAAAAAGAAAATACTGTGGGGTGATTTAGGGGGCTTTGCACATTTTTTTTGGTATTTTTAATATGTGTGTGCATATGCGTGTGTGTGCACCTGGAAGTCATGAAATTTTCAGTTGCCTCTCCTGTAAAAAGAAAATACTGTGAGGTGATTTAGGGGGCTTTGCACATTTCTTTTGGTATTTTTAATATGTGTGCGCGTGTGTGCACCTGGAAGTCATGATGACCTCTGACCCCTACTGGGGGCCTGGCGGATATTCAGAGAGGTGGCTGAATAAAGCCTGCCACCGCCTCCCACCTCTGGTATTCCAAGGAGGTCTCCCATCCAAGTATTCACCAGAGTCGACCTGGCTTAGCTTCTGAGATCTGACGAGATCGGGCTTGCCTGGGCTATCCAAGTCAGGGCAAGATTGGCACAACATCATGCAGTGGAACAGGGCTTCTTTTCCCCTTGCCTAAGTCTGATTAAAAGGGAAGGTGGTTTTCTTTCCAGTTTGCATTTCAGAGGGGAAAACTCAAGAAGTTCCCCTTAGCGGCAGGAAAGGACCCCAAGGGCGCTGAAGGTGATCATGCTTCTGAATCTGTATTTCCCACAGTACTGCCGGAATCCATCCGTCATTTCAAGCCCAACGAGTTACGATGGACAGGGAATCGCCTCAATTCCAAACTGATTTTTTTTAAAAAAGACAAAAAAAGGCATTCAAAATGCCATTCCTTCAATGCTGTCTCCTTCTAACCCCAAGAGAGGCCTCAGTACCAACAACCATCAGCGACCGATAGCTGTACTAAAAGGAAGAGAGGGAAAGGGCTTCTGGGATGTGAGTGGAGGCGAGAGGGTGGCTTCACATTTCCCAGCATGAAAACCAAACCCTCCTTTGGGAACCCCAGACCTCTCACTGAAAGAAAGGCAATCAGGTTTCTTCCTTGACCTGTAAACATGCAGGGGGGGAAGTCACTGCAAGTCCCTATGGCTGCAGTTTATGTCCCTGGAAAGGGCGGTGGTAGAGCGGTCCACACTTGACTTCGTTTATCTTTGGAAAGAGAGACAAGTGAAGCCCCTTCAACTCATAGCATGTCCTCTGCTGACGTAGATCCTAATTTCTCCCCTGGTGGCTCCCTTCAGTGTCCCTGGTCCACCAATCCCTTATGCCTGACCCACACCTGACCGCCGTGGCAGGGAATGACAACTCACCCGGGTGAACAAGGAACACTGCTCCAAAACACCACAGGCAGAACTTTTTACATCATACCCGAGTGCTTTTCAAATCCAGTGATAGGAGGTCAGGCGGTACCACACGTGCCTGAACTAGCCCCCCAGTAATGCTTGTCCCAAGCTGGAAGAACCACCAGCACTTTCTGCCGCCCTGGAAGATTCCAGCCTCCTGGAGATTTTATTGTTGCATTCTACAAGCTGGTTTGTGTATAAATAACACTCCTGGAAAGCCTCTGAATCCGTCTCCCTTTTTTTAAAAAAAAACCCAGGTCCTTATTTTACTAACGTTTTCAAGAGTTCAGCCATCATTCAAAACGTACATTGATCAAACAAGAATCGGTGTTGTTTTCCTTTTTTTTAAAAAAAAGGAAGAAAAACTTCCCCCCCTTTACTACAAACAAAAACTGAAGCGTTCCCAAGGTTGTGTGCATCTCTCTAGTCTAGGCGTTTTTGCTACCCGCAAGGGGCCTGCTCTCCCTTCCCCCACCAGGTAGGTTTCCTCAGCCCACAGACTCGCAAATGGCACTTTGCTTCTATTCCAGTAAGAAGCTTGGAGACTGTTCTGTTTGTGTAAATCAGGCTTTGTTCGGGAGTGAGTGGCTCCTCTCCCATACAGATCAGCTCTTCTTGCTGTGGGCTGGCCCTCTGTTGTGTTGATGCTGGAGCCTCTGTAGAAGACCAGGATGTGGAGAAGGCATGGTCCCAACAATGGAGCATCCTCCTGAGATGCTGCTTCCAGGCCTGATTCAGCAGAAGGCAGCTTCTTGTGTGTCTGTTCGTGTGTGTGTGTATGTGTGAGTGTAGTGAGAGTCACAAGGCAAGGAATATTCCTTGGCATCAAGACAATCCACAACACAACCAGATCTGGGGCCACCCCCCTCCCATCAACCCTCCACGATCGGAAAACACCCCAGCACTTTTGAGAGTTTAAAAGGACAGAGCACAAGGGGGGGGGGATGGGACACAAGGCGCAGTGTAGCTCCAGGCTAGACTTAAGCCCCGCCCTCATCAGTCTGCTCCAGAGTAGATCAACTGGGTTGGGACAGGCTCGGGACCAGCGTCTGTCTCCTCGTCCCCCCAGAAATAAGTGACTAGGTTGTCAGAATCCAGAATGGTGGCGGGCACAGTGTTCGCTTTGACAGGGTTGAAGGGCACCTCGGGGTGCGCCTTCTGGTGGTGCCGGGCCAGGTGGCTCCTCTGGACGTAGCCCTTCTCGCAGTGAGAGCACATGTAGGGCCTCTCAGCCTGGTGGAGCATCTGATGCCGGGTCAGCGTGGACTTGACAGCGAAGCTTTTCCCGCAGATCTCGCAGTGGTAGGGCTTCTCCACCATGTGGATTCTCTCATGCCTGTACAGCTTCGACATGGAGCAGAAGCCCTCCCCGCACACCACGCATTTGTAAGGCCTCTCCCCTCGGTGCATCCGCAGGTGCCGGTTGAGGGTCCCGCTGTGCATAAAGGCTTCTCCGCAATCCGGGCACACGTAGGTTTTCTCCTCCACCGGAGGCATCGGATAGGGAAAGGGGACCGGGTAGCTGTACGGGAAGTTTTCCTCCCAGCTGTCATTCTTATAAGGACTCTCCTCCCGGTGGCTTCTCTGGTGCCTGGTGACGCTCGTACTACGGGTGAAGCTTTGCCCGCAGTCGGGGCACTTGTAGGGTTTTTCCCCCGTGTGGGTCATCTGGTGGGTGAGGAGGTTGAGGTTCAGGCTGAAGCTCCGCCCACAGTCGAGACAGGAATAAGGCTTCTCCCCCGTGTGGGTCCGCCAGTGCCGCGTCAGGGTCGACTTCCTGTTGAAGATGCGCCCGCACTCGGTACAGGGGTACATCCGGCCTCCTAAGTAGAACTGCTGCTGGAAAGAAGATTCGAAGGCCTCGCCCAGACTGTCAATGGAAGTGTCCCAGTCCTCTTTCGGATAGTCTCCCCGATACATATCAGGTCTGAACGGGCTCTCCCAGATGGGATAATCCTCAGGACCCTGGGAAAGGCTGGCTTCTTCTGAATCTTCGAAGATCGTGAACTGGACTTCTACCTGCTGATCCGCGCTTCCTCGCTGGGAGACCTCCCCTTTTGTCTCCCCCTCCAGTCTGTCCTTAGTTGGGGCAAAATCCTTCCCCACAACCAACGGGAGGCCATGCGGAACGGGTCCATCCCACTGGCGCTTGGGATAATCGCTCTCCAGTGGTTCGTCTGAGCTAATCTCGCTCGCGCAGAGTCTCCCCTCCGAAATGCCCCCTTCGGACTCCTCCAGTATGGTGAAATGCAGTTCGACCTGCTGCTTGGGGCCAGGCTGCAGACAGCTTCCCAGGCTTCTCTCTCCGGGCCCCCTCTCTGGGGCTGGGAGCAATTTCTGCAGCTCCGGCGAGGGAGACCGGGATGGGTCAGAGTAAACGGATTCATCGTCCGGTTCGGGCAAAGAGGAGCCGTCTGGCTGCCGCTCTGCATTAATGTCACAGTGCCAAAGCTTCCCCTGGGAAATGCCCCCTTCCGATTCTTCCAAGATGGTGAAATGCAATTCAACTTGAGGCTCAAAGTCCTCCTCCTCCTCCTCCTGCGGGCGCTTCCCTTTGGTGTCCTTCATTTTTCCATCACCTGCAGGGATAACGAGAGAAACCAGACCTCAGCCATGCCGAGTCAAAATCAGAAGTGGTGTGACCTAAACCCCACCTGCGATGCAACCCCCTCGCTACCCTCAGGTGCCCTCCGAGCATGAAGAGTACACAGACGGGGAGAGAACCACTGGCAAGGCTATTTGGGCACTGGAGACCTGTGATTCCAGAAGACAACTGGTACCCTTATAATCTCACTTCTTGCAATACGCTAAGACTCGTACTCTGTGCTTCAACAACACCCAACTTCAGGCAGAATCTGGCACAATTCTGGCTCTCAAAAGGGAAATGTGTTTCTAACCCTCAGTGTTTTCCAGGGGCAACCCTGTATGTTCAACAAGACTGGCCAGCATACACGTGTTCCATCCTAGGGGATCATCACACAAAATGAACGTGTGGATTGGAGATGAGTGGAACTTCAAGTCCTATCAATCCACACAGCCCTGAGTGCGGTGGCTGATGTTCGGCGAGCCCATAGGTTCATATGGCTGTTCTGACATGACGGAGGAGGAGGAGGAGGAGATTGGATTTATACCCCACCCTTCACTACCCAAAGGAATATCAGAGCGGCTTACAATCTCCTTTCCCTTTTTCTCCCCACAGCAGACACTCTGTGAGGTAGGTGGGGCTGAGAGGGCTCTTGAGAGAACTGCTCTTGAGAGAACAGCTCTGAAAAAACTTGTGACTAACCCAAGGTCACCCAGCTGGCTGCATATGGAGAAGTGGGGAATCAAATCCGCTTCTCCCAGATTAGAGTCCATGCTCCTAACCACTACACCAAACTGGCTCTCCACACCAAGATGGCTGGATCATGCATAAGAGTCCACAGAGCAAGCTGGTGGAACAGATCTTTTCCTGCCTTCTCCTTCCCCAAGCAGACTGCCCCGGAACTCCCTTCTTGGGAATGGGAGAGCCATGCAAGCAAAATTCGGCACAGGATTGGGGGAACAGGGGGGGCGGCCCTGCAAGAATAATGGGGAAATTGAATAATATTGCCGCTTCCTCCCACTTGCAATCTACATCAGAGGAAGAAGAAGAAAGAGGCGATTTTACCCGATTCCCCATTGCTGCTCACACCCCGGGTCTTGTGATGCGATTGATTTGCAAGGCTCCCCTAACTGGCAGAAAGGAGTTCTGGGACAAACAGCGGGGAAATGGGGAAATGCCTTCCAGGAATTCTTTGCTGGATTTCTGCCTATCCAATAATTGGGTCAACATGTTACGAAAACAGTGAAGTGCGGCATTTAACTCGGTTTGAGTGCATGTTGATTTGGTTATAAGAAACCTCAGCATCAGCTCAGGTTAACTGTCATAAGTTCTCAAAGGAAATCTCAGCTCGATACAGTACTGGCAGCAGACAGCAATACCGGAAATGGGCTAAGAATAAAACAGTTAGTGCCACGAGGCCGTCACGGCTGCCTTTGGAATACCGTGCTGTGTTCATCTTGCCCTGTCTAAAACGACACTGTGGATATGGAAAAATTCCAAAAAAGGCCAACCAAAATGATCAACCAAGAAGAGGAGTTGGTTTCTATACTCCTGCTTTTTTCTACCCTCAGGAATCTCAAAGTGGCTTACAATCACCTTTCCCTTCCTCTCCCCCAAAACATTTGGTCTGATCCAAGCAGGGCTCTTGCTAATCCTGGACTAGGGAGGCTGTAGGCTAGAATGTCTCCCTGCATGATCTGATAAAGTGTGTGTGTGTGTGGGGGGGGGAACCTGATTCACAACAGCTCATGCCACAAGAAGCGTGTTACTCCCTTAAGGTCCTTTGGGCTGCAGCAGACTAGAACAGCTCCCCTGCTGGGGTGTGCCTTTTGGCTTTGTGGTCCGCAGCACTGACTTCCTGTGGCAATTCTGACAGTGTTGTGGACAAGACGGGAAGTTCCCATCTAGGAGATCACTGCATGCCTGTGAGCCGCAGAGGCAGGTCTATGATGTGGAGAGGCGGTGGCCTTGGGATTCTGGAGAGAGGGAGCAGAAGCAGCAGCAGCAGCATCCACCGCCTCTGCCTCACCCTCCCCACCCAGCAGCTGGAACATCAAATGTTCCTTCCTTCTTCCCTCTCCCAGAGTTTGTTAAACACCGCTGCACAAGTGCAATAAGGCAAGTGTGCTGCTCTGAGAAGGGTAAGAGGCAGGAAAGGAGGAGGAGGAGGAGGCCCTTCACTCAGAGTCTCAGAGCGGCTTACGAACTCCTTTCCCTTCCCCTGTGAGGTAGGCGGGGCTGAGAGAGCTCTTGCCAGAACTGCCCTTGTCAGAACTACGGCTTGCCCAAGGTCATCCAGCAGCTGCAAGTGAAGGAGTGGGGAATCAAACCTGGTTCTCCCAGATTGGAGTCTGCGCACTTAATGACTTCACCAAACTGGCTCCACCATTCCCCTAAATTTAGCTTATGATTCAACTTATGGTTGGGATACATTCCAGATGCTACATGCAAAAAGGCCAGCTGTGCAATGGCACTACCATGTCCCTCCGCGTGGGGCCCCGGAGTTCTTCCAGAATGACAACTGGTCTCCCAGGCTACATGGATCAGTCTCCTTGGAGGAAACGGCAGCTTTGGGGAGGGGGGGGGATCCATAGCATCACATTCAAACACACACCCCTGCTCCCTAAATTTGCCCCTTCCCAAGCACTACCCCCAAATCTCCAGGGATTTCTGAAGCTAGCAGGTGGCAACTGTATTAAATTAGTCACAAAGGGAACCCCCACCATTACAAAAGGTCAGTCCACTCTTACTTGTTCTCATTTATATCCTACCAATTTGGTGTAGTGGTTAAGAGGGTGACTCTAATCTGGGAGAACTGGGTTTGATTCCCCACTCCTCCACATGCAGCTGCTGGTGTGACCTTGGGTCAGTCACAAGTTCAGAGCTGTTCCCTCAAGAGCAGTCCTCGAAAGAGCTCTCTCGGCCCCACCTACCTTTCAGGGTGTCTCTTGTGGGGCGGGGAAGGGAAATGTGATTGTAAGCTGCTCTGAGACTCCGAGTGAAGGGCAAGGTATAAATCCAATCTTTTCTTCTTCTCTCACTGGGACTACCACACTCCAAGGAGGTTTGTGAACAGGCACTGGGTGACCTTAGGTCAGTTACAGTTCTCTTAAAGCTGTTCTCTCCAGAACAGTTCTCTCAGAGCTCTCTCAGCCCCACCTACCCCACAGCGTGTCTGTTGTGAGGAGGGGAAGGAGATAGTAAGCTGCTCTGAGACTCTGAGTGAAGGGTGGGGTATAAATCCAATCTCTTCTTCTTCTGAGCAACCAAAGCACTCAACATCCAGAGGCAGCAGAAATATCCCAGGCACAATGGAAGAAATTAACAGTGCCACCCTAAGATGTCAGTGGACTTGGAAAAGTGTAACTGTACAAGACTGCACTGTAAGCCAGAAGGTAGTTTTGCAGGTACTCACTAGTCTGGGGACTTGGATGGCCCAGGACAGCCCAATCTCCCCAGATCTCAGAAGCTAAGCAGGGCTGGACCTGGCTAGTATTTGGATGGGAGAACACCAAGGAAGTCCAGAGTCACTATGCAGAGGCAGGCAATGACAAGCCACCTCTGAACGTCTCTTGCCTTGGAAACCTTACAGAGCTGGCCATAAGTTGGTTGCAAGTTGCAACTCAGAATCACAGAGTTGGAAGACACCATAGAGACAATCTAGTCCAACCCCCTGGTCCCTGCAGGATCAGCCTAAAGCATCCCTGACAAGTGTTTGTCCAGCCAGTGCGGACAGTCACAGATGGGGTAAAACAAGGTGATCCTGCACCCCTTACTCTAAAATAACTCTTTCGTAAAGGGTGCGTGCACACATACACACTGTAGATAAATCCTTCAGAGACAGACTGCATTTCATCTGTATTCTCAATAAAAAGGCTTCCACAGAATACAACCCATTTCCATAGTAATCTCCAAGACTGTGGCACAATCACATGCAGGACACATTTCAGAGGCGGTCTGCCGTTGCCTGCCTCCGCATCACAATCCTGAACTTCCTCGGTGGTCCCCCATCCAAGTACTAACCAGGGACGACCCTGCTTAGCTTCCAAGATCTGACAAGATCAGGCTAGCCTGGACTATCCAGGCCAGGACATCCAGCCCCTCCAGGTGGGCCTTAAGGCTTCTTAACAGTCTTTAAGAACAAGCAATCTATTATGGGGAGCCAGGTTTCGCAGAACCCAACTTTTAAAGAATACGAAGTCTCCAGCCCTCATGATTGCAGACTGGAAAGTATGCAGGTAAGAGTCTGGAGGATTACTTGCTCCTGCCTCCTGGGTCTCTAACATGACTGTCCAGAAAAACCTGAGTGCCAAATGCAGTATTTGTAAGCCGCCTGTGAGGGCAATGCTTCAAACCAGCGACCAGTCCTCCTTCCTTGGAAGATGGGGTCCACTTAAGCCCCTTTGCCACCCAGATGGTGTCCACCAGTGTACACTCCTCATGGTAACAACTTACACATTGTAGCACTAGACAAGGGCCCAAGAACCCACTCTAACCCACAGGAACCAGCACCCCCTGGCTTCACACCCCCAAGTACAAGGGCCATTTCAGCCTGAACACAGGGTTGCACATTCCTTCACCACCACAGGCTGCCAATGGGCCATGCTGATTAGATGGTGTTAAGCGGCAACAGAGTGCTCTGGAGACGAGTGTCATCTTCCTTTCGGGGCTTGCTGTGCTACAACTGGGCTGTCCCCACTCCCCCAAAGTGCTTTACAATTGTATGAGCATGTTAAATGAACGCCCGAATGACCAACCAATTCCCCCTTATTCTTTTCTTGTTCTTCCATTGTCCTATCAGGTGCTTGGGGGAAAGTTGCTGGGGGCCAGAGAGTGCAGAGCATTAACCACTCCGATCCTGTGCAGCCTCCCACGAGAAAGCCCTTCAGTTTCCTAACAAATCTGCACCACCAGAGGCCTTGTGCCTCTTGGGCTCTCTGGAGGGGGCAGGACTCTGCTTCTTGGAGGTCTGCAAAAGGTGTGGGGGAAGGAATTGGGCTGGCTCACACTGTGCCTGCGAGAGAGAAAACCAGCCCTCTTTTTCACCAGCCAAGACTTCTCCCCTCCCCTGTGGAATTCCTCCCTGGGGAAAAGAATCTTCCGAGCCTGGACAACAACATAATCGAGAGAAGCACCTGGAGGGGGAGAGCGAGACACACACCCCCCCCCCTATAAATAGGGAGCGAAGCAGGAAGATGCCGCCTCCAAGCCCACCTCCACTCTTGGGACCCGGGACGGACAACCTGCACCAGGGAAGGCGGAGATGGGCTGATCTGAAATTCTGGCTCACGGCTGCTTCTCTGGCAACTGCACTTCCCCCCTCCCCCCTTCCCTCCCTCGGACAAATAGCCGTCGCGTCTCTATCCATCCCCCGGGGGCGTTTGGCTTGGGAATGCCTGGGTGTAAGGGAAAAAAAAGAGATCCACCTGGGCGTCGCCCTCCTCGCTCTGGCCGGAGGCAGTCCCCACCTCGGTCCAGCGGTGCGACAACGCGGCCGAAAGGCAGGCCAGGGGACCGAGACCCCTTCGCCTCTCCCCCAGCCTCGGCGGTGCGGCTCCCCTGGGCTCGCTAGGGAGCAGTGGCTGCCTTCGAGGCGGGCTGACTCCCGCTGCTCCGGATGCAGCGAGCGCCTGAGACAGGAAACTCATCCCGAGGAAGGCTGCGCTCCGAGAGACAAAGAGAGAGCGCGCGCGCAGCCTCCCGGCCCTCTGCAATGGCCAGAGCCCTCTGGTGGCTGCGAGGCGTGGGGAGAAGCGATCCGAATGAGGCGGTAAACAGCCGGCGGGTGCTCCGATCCTGGGGAATAGATCCCTCCCGTGCACTGAGCGTAACAGGAGGACTCAACGTATGAACAAAGAAAATCAAGTGTACACGACACACTTGACTGAACGTGTAGTCGCTCCATCGCGATCCTAAACATGCCTTTTATCTGATTCTAGTGTGTTTTCTCTTTCCGCCAAGGTTCTTCCTTCACCATACTCAGAACGACTCCGGGAGATGGGCCAGCAACTGTTCTCTCGCCCGGCTTAACCCGAGATCACCCATTGACCTTTCCTTGGGGTGGAATGAGGATTTGTTTCTCGGGGGGGTGGGGTAGCCCAGAGCTCTAACTACTACACTACACTGCCTCGCAACCGTGTTCCAACCCGCACAACTTTCCCCCAAATACTGGAGTTTAAGATTGCAACCTTAAACACAACAAAGGCGCACCACTGTGCATCCATTTTTGGAACTGACATTTAACCCCCAAGCAGATGTTTAATTTGCATACAGGAGAGTTTGCAGAGGAGAAATGCTGCCTCCCCCAATGTGTCTAGGCTCTGAGAGGCTTGGCATGGAATACGCAGAAAGAGGCAGGAATGAAACGGCTGCAGGCCCTTGTTTGGAATAAAAGACAGGTAAAGGGGAAAGCACACACAGAGAGAATACAAACAGTGGGCTCTGGCCTACACACCCAGAGGAGACTAATACGCAGCCCAGGGCTATGTAAGGATGGGTGTGGGGAACTGTTGATCGCTCAAGGAGAACAAAAGGGAAAATACTAGGAAAAAAGCCCATTGTGGAAATAAATACAACAGCCTCTAGAAAGAGGCTCTGGGCGGGTGCCCCGGCCTTGGACACTCAGTGTCAATTTGCTGTGGCGACCTCAGCAGGGTATAATGACACTGAGTCCACCATTTTCTCCAGAGGAACTGATCTCTGCTACCTAAAGAACAGTTGTAATTTTGACTGATCTCCAGCCCTCACCTGGAGATTGGCAACAATGGTTCCCCAGAAGGGAATAGTTGGTTTGGAGGGTGGAGTCTATGGCTTTGTACCTGTCCGAGGTCCCACGCCTCCTGAAACCTCACCCTCTCCAGGCTCCATCCCTCACCTCTCCAGGAATTTCCCACCTGGAGTTGGCAACCCCATCTCCTTCCCAGCCAACCATCAACCTACCTTTATTTCCCCCTCACTGTTCAGCTTTCCTCCCCCCACACACCTGGAGTCTCTCCCGTGCTCTGAAGCCCTGGTCACATTGGCTGTCATACAGGGGCCACCTCAGCAGCATATAAGGATACAGAAACCACCATTTTCTCCAGGGGAACTGATCTCTGCCATCTGGAAAGCAGTTGTAATTCTGAGGGATCTCCAGCCCTCACCTGAAGATTGGACACATTTTACCTCAGAACAGAAAACTGTTTAGAATGTTAGAGGCAAAAGCCAATCAAGTCGCATATGCAAATGACCTCTGTGTTCCGAGGCAAAGGCCAATGAGGCTGCATATGCAAATAACCTCTGTGTTCTGACTGGCTATGGGGAGGAGAGGAACAGCAAAATGTTTAGAATGTTGGAGGCAAGACTCAGGCAAAGCAGCCAGGGAGACCCTCTGAATGACAGATGAGAGAGCGAACTGATTTTGGAGCGTGTGGAATGTTCTAGAGAAGTGCCACCACCATTTGGCTTTTATTTATAAGTGAGATACTTTACCTGTCCAATGAGGAAAGGGGGGGGGGGTTTCCACGTAGTTTGAGGTTCTTTGAAAATGTTTAGAAAAACAGAGTATCCACTCTAGCTTTCCAAGGGTATCTGAATGCAAATTGCTGGGCAAAAGGGCCCTTTTTATATGCTAGATCCTGTGGACTGCTGGGAAAAATTTAATTTCTGGTGGGGCGGGATTATTTGATTGAGTTAAAGTGAACAAAGGACTGCTGGGGGGGGAGGTTTCTCTGTGTAACTCAGGCTACCCACTCTCATTTGGATTGAAATTGATTAATTTAAATCTGTGGACACTGACCAGGTGCAGTTAGTTACCTGGCACCCAAGACCTGCCCTTCCTAGGTGAGGCTAATTGATACTGTTAAATCAGTTACTTAACAAAGGAATCAGAGAGTGATTCAGCAAAAGATCAGCTTTATTCAACAACGCATAACACAACTCCCACAGATTAATTTGGATAGCCAGAACAGCTTTAACATTGAAGCTGTTCTTCTTTTAAACTCTTCTGGCTAATATAGCCACGCCCTATTTCACAATAACAACCAATAAGATTGTAAAGATAAGGTCCAATCACAAGCGTTCCCTCTCAGGGAACTGGAGGTTGGTGATTGGTTGGCTCTTCCTGGGCTACCAATTGTAATTGAGGGATTAGGATCCTAGCCCAGGATGAAAGCTTCACATGGTGTTTCAATCAGAGAGTTTACATACATTCAGTTTTCAAGATTGAATACACCACAGATACTATTTTAATTCACAGTGGGAGGAAGACCCTAGTGGCTGTTTTCCCTTGTCCAGTATGTCAGAGGTACAGGGCTCCAAGGGTGGTGGCCTCTTGGGTCACTCATGCTTAGGACAGAGTGGCAACCACAATGTGAACAGGTAACTATTACTCCAGGGAGAAAGATTCTAGGCATCACCTTGCTTGTGCTGATTTTCTAGTATTTATTTATTTAATTTGTATCCCACCCTCCCTGCCCAGGCAGGCTCAGTGAGGGCGAGATACAAATTAATTAAATAAATCAATACTAGAAAATCAGCACAAGCAAGGAGATGCCTAGAATCTCTCTCCCTGGAGTAATAGTTATCTGTTCACTCTCTCTCTCTGTGTAAAGGTTTCCCTTGCTCAAAAGCCAGTCGAATCTGACTATAGGGTTGTGGTGCTCATCTCTGTTTCCAAGCCGAAGAGCCAGCGCTGTCCGAGGACATTTCCGTAGTCATGTGGCCGGCATGATTAAACGCCAAGGCGCACGGAATGCTGTTACCTTCCCACCAAAGCGGTACCTATTTATCTACTTGCAATTTCTTGCTTTCGAACTGCTAGGTTGGTACGAGCTGGAACCAGAGACGGGAGCTCACTCCGTCATGCGGCAATTGAGTCTCGAACTGCTGAACTACCGACCTTCCAGCCTGCAGTTCAGTGTCTTAATCACTTGAGCCACCGCAGCTCCCTGTGTGTGTGTATGTGAAACAATAAGATGTGTGTGTGTTTCTTTTAATACAGGGGAACATTTCAAAATGAGATGCTGTACTTGCAGCCTGAAGAGGTACAGCCCATCCTACTTCCTCAGAACTTTACCACCTCCTTATTGGAATATTTGGTTAATATAGCAGAGTTTGGCCCAGTCATTGAAGTGTGCAGTAAACTAATCTCCCAAGAAATATATTGCAAAAAAGGTAAACGAACATTTATTCAAGTAGATCTAGTTCCCATTCAGGTTTGCAGTCAAAAGGAGAGAGAGAAGCCTAATCGAAAGAGTACTTTCCCCATCTCAAATGGCCAGCTTGTCCAGCATCACGTGTGTGTGGGAGTATGAGAGGGCACAGGAGAGACCTGCAGTGCAGAGACAAGTGTTTCCATGGAAGGATATGTGGAGAGAGTGGGAGGACAGAGCGTGCATGCAAGAGAGAGGAGGGGTCAGAGAGGACATCTCCCTGTTTAAGACAAAGAGAGGCATCCCACTCAAGGAGATAACACCTACATACACTTAGAGTGATGTAAGGTCCCCCCCCCCAATGTCCAGGCATGCCGAGTCCCTCTCTCCAACACTTCTGCAAATTGTGTGAAGCAGGCTGGAGCCAATACAAGTAGCCTGCCTTTACCTTGTAGGGGTTTGTACCACGTAGTCTCTTGTCTGTATTGTCATGAGATTTCTTTTATTCCTTCCTCATCTGTTTGTGGGGTTTTTTGCACACATGCCCCATCTGTGGTGGATGTGGGCTCTTGACCAACTGATAAATTTCCCCCACCTTTCCCTTGTGGTTTGATGGTCATCTGTAAACTGTAATAACAATCAATGTCAAGTGGAGAAGGTATCCCCCCCCCCCGCATCCCATTGCTAGAATCTTCTTTTAAGGGAATATTGCAAACACATCATCTGTGAGATCCTGGTGGTTAATGTTCTCTTGGGTTATAGGTTACTGAAGCTAAATTGTTCTCTGGGGTTGCTAACAACCTGGAAGGGGGGGGATATCCTATCCCTTTTAACAGAGATTTAATCACATATTATTTATTGTGTGATGTTCTTTACCTCCATGCCATGATAAGCATCAATTGCACACTTCCACATAATGGTATCCAGTTGGCCAAGGTGTCAGACAAGGACGTATTTTATCTCCCTGTCTCTTCAATCTATATGCGGAACATATCACAAGAAAAGCTGGATTAGATTTAGATGGTGGAGTGAAAACTAATGGAAGGAACATTATCAGTTTGAGATATGCAGATGACACATTACTGGCAGAAAACAGGGAAGACTTGATATGACGACTGATGAAGGTTAAAGCAGGAAGTGCCAAAGCGGGATTACAGTTGAACATCAAGAAGACAAAAGTAATGACTGCTGGGGAATTACACAACTTCAAGGCTGACAATGAAGAAATTGAAATTGTTCAAGATTGTGCACGAAAGCTCATTCATCCAGCAGGAAAAGAGGAAGACTCAACATGAGACGACTTAACTCAGTCAAGGAATCCACAGCCCTCGTTTCCAAGACCTGAGCATTAAGGCTGTTAAGAACAGGACCTTTTGGAGGTCATTAATTCATAGGGTCGCCATAAATTGGAAGCGACTTGACAGCACAACACACAGGAAAGCCTCTGGTAAATGGCCAGGATGCTTTTTTTCCTTTTTGGCATCCGTACTGCTCAGTGCCTGGCTAGGAGGAGACCTGTTTTGTACGTGGCTTCCAGTTCTGTAAGGGAAGAGGGAAGGGAGGATAGAAACAGTCTTCTGATCTGCCTCCTGCTCAGTGTGACTCTACAGAGCCCTCGGGGCTGCTAACAGCCAAACTGAGATCGAAGTACCATCCCTTCAACATCACACTCTTCTTAACCAAAAATAAGTAATGCCTCAGTGGCAAAATGGCACAATCTACTGGCACCAGATGCACATGAGCCAGCTTGTAAATTAAGCCCCTCCCCCTACTCAGTGAGCCTTCAGAAATAAAGAAGGTTTTATTAAAAAAATTAAAAGAAGAGCCAACAGTGGCCCTTGGGGTGGGTGGAGTTCCACCATGAGGGTGACTCTTTAGAAAACACCCTTCTTCTTGCTGCCATTGTATGATCTCTCTGATGAGCTGGGGGACGATCCCTAAGAGAAGAGGCGTTCCCTACAGTCGTCTGGACCAAACTACCGTAGAGGTTATCACCTGAACCTTTGGGGGAATTAATTGGAAGCTCGCCTGTTCTTTCAGCACAAGCGTTATGTACTCTCACTGATTCACTCTCACCAAAAGGCAGGGTGGCTCATTTTGAACCCACTGAATTTTTCAAATAGTCTTCAAGGGCAGCCCCACATTGAGTTAAGGTGGCCGAAATGTATCTTGTGCTGGTGAGGAGGTGATCATCCTGTTGGAGGGGGTCACAACTGTCGCAGCCTAAGGTGGAAGAAACAGTCACTGTCTGTTGATGCTCCCTGAGCTTACAAAAGCTGTGGGAACCAGAAGCACCCCCACACCCCATGCCTCTGGCCTTTCACAGAGACTGACAGCACAGGGGAACCACCCACACAAATCGAACACACGCACACTAGAACACGTGCAACCTGTGGGCCGACAGCTGGAGAAGTCTTTTCAAGATCCCACAGAAATCACTGTAACTTACTTCCCATTACATAAGACTGTATGTTGTTTTACAGTCTCTTCCATATAGAGGCAGCAATATGTATTCTGGGCTCATCAGAGCGTAGAAGCTAACCAGGGTTGGCCCTGGTTAGTAGTTGGATGGGAGACCACCATGGAAGTCCAGAGGAAAGCAATGGCAAGCCACCTCTGAATGTGTCTCTTGCCTGGAAAACGCCCATGAGGAGTTGCTGATGGTCAGTTGTGACTTGACAGCACATCATCACCATCATCATCATTATTTTGCCATCAAGTCAAGCAGATGTCTGGTGACCCTAGTGGGGTTTGAAGGCAAGGGACGTTCAGAGGTGGCTTGCCATTGCCTGTCTCTGCATCATGACCCTGGACTTCCTTGGAGGCCTCCCTTCCAAATACTAGCCAGGGCTGGCCCTGCTTAGCTTCTGAGATCTGACGTGATCAGGCTTGCCTGGGCTACCCGGGTCAGGGCACGGCACTTAATTGCATAGATTATTAACTAGTTACAAAAGTTCGCTCTTGCATTGCTTGAGACTTCTGCGAGCCGGTCTTCTTGAAGACTTTCTTATTCCAATAATCTGCCTACTGAGTACTTTTAAATCTCACCCTTCCTTCAAGGAGCATACAGCCGCATAGATTGGTCTCTTTTCACAATCATATTGTCACAACCAGTGTTCCCTCTAAGCTGGGCTAAGCGTGTTTGGCTGTCCCAAGGTCATCCAGGGGCATTATCGCAGGGTGTGGATTTGATCTAGGTCTCCCATAGCCTAACCACTACCTTGCAATAGCCTTTTGCACACAACACGTCCATGCAGTGGATCAACGCGCATGGTGAGGAACAGGCACAAGCACACTGGCCCTCCTCCCCCCACCTACATGGGATGGCTCGCTCATGAGCAACATGGAAGAAGGATCCACAGGCACATTCCCTCCCCGTCATCTGGAACATTCAAAGAGCCACGTTCCTCATTGCTGGGAAAGAATGAGCACACGTCCACTCCTTCTGCTCCCCCCTCTATGCGCACTGATGCAGTGTACGTCTGGGTCGTGTGTAGAGGGCTCCTGTCTTTCATGCCCTTAAAAGCTACACATACATTCCAGAAAACATTTTACAACAGCTTTGTTTTAAATTTATTTTGAAAAAGCTTCCACCAACATTAAAACCTCAGATCCCTAAAATATAAGAGTTTTCTTTTTTAAAAAAACAAAATGTTAATGATAAGCAATGAACAGGAAAAAGAACCCATGTTTACAAAACCTCCCAGAAACCCCCCCTTCCAATTTCCCCTACATTGCAATCCAGCCATATCACCACTACATTGGATTACCAGCCACTAGGTGGGGACCTGCAGTTCTTCCAGAATTACAACTGATCTCTAGACTAAAGAGATCGGTTCCCTTGGCAGAAAAGGCAGCTTCAGAGGGCAGCCTCTATGGCATACCATAGAGTTTAGAAGTCCTAGAATTAATGTTGCATCCCCACAGAGCTCCACCCCCCAAAATCTCCAGGAATTTCCCAAGCTCATGTTGGCAGTGCACCATGATACCTCACTGGGTTTAGGACAATTGTAGCATCCACTGCAGTGAGACCTCCTCTTCTTCTAAAAAGGGACTTCTGATGTCGCTTGGGTTGAGTGTTCCAGTAGGAAGATCACGCCAACCGGCCATGGGGCAGGCTTAAGGAAACAGCACTCAGAAAAGTGGTCGTATTTAGCAAAATGGTTAGCAACTGCAGGACACATTTTCCAACCATTCCCAGGACAACCTCGAAAGTGAATGGGAAGCATTTCCTGCAAGCTTATGGATCCCTACATTGGACTCTTCCCCAACTAACAAAACAGCAAGCGAGGAAGGAAGAAGGGCAGCAAAACTGATCCCCTTCCCCCCAAATGCTTAAGAGGGGAAAGAGAGTGTCCTAGACCAAGGGAACAAAAGGCACTCGAGCCCACTAGTCTAGCTGAGCCCCGAACAAGAGAAGGCAGAGCGGAGGGGAGGGGAAAGCAGTCCTCTCGACAACTCCCAAAGGCCTGACACTCCAAACTCTTCGCTTCACTCATAAATCCCGTGGTTCTTCTGGCAATGCCTGTTCAGGTGGCACTTCTGGATGTAGCCTTTGTCACAGTAGCGGCACAGGAAGGGCTTCTCCGGCTGGTGCAGCAGCAGGTGCCTGACCAGCACCGACTTGACGGCAAACGCTTTCCCGCAATGGGAGCAGCAGAAGGGCTTCTCTTGGGAGTGCGTGGCCAGGTGCCTCTGGAACTTGAAGCCGAGAGGGAAGCTCTGCCCGCACACCTCGCACAGAGCGGTCAACTGGTCCCTCTCTTTGCCAGCTGAGCGTGACCCGCCGTCGGGGCAGGAAAGACGGTTCTTTCCGGACGGGGCCTTGGGACTGCAAAGTCGGTTTCCGGCCAGCCCGCAGCTTTTCTTTTGCCCTGAATTTTGTGACAGGTTCTCTTTCCGGTGGAGCTTCCGATGTCTGGGGATGCTCGACTTGTGGACAAAGCCTCTCCCGCAGTCAGGGCAGTGGAAGCGTTTCTGGAGCCTATCCGGGTCCGCCTTCATTTTGGGACGGTGGTTCAGGTCCAGCTGAAAGAAGAGTCTCTCCCAGTCATCTGCAAGAGTTACCTGGCGGTCCTCAGCACTGCCTGGTGTGCAGCAGATAAAGAGGTAGCCGCAAGTGGGACATTTGTACAACTTCTCTCTAGTATGTGGTACCTGGTGGGTGACGGGGTTCCCGTTTAGGCTGAACACTCTTCCACAGTTGGGACACGAGCAGAGCATCTCTCCAGTATGCGATCTCTCCAGAACCACAGACGGTGGGGGCTCACCGGCACTTTCCATGCTGCTGTCGCAGGAAGGACTTCTCTCCTCTTGGTGGATGGAGACTTCCCCTACACCATCATCGCCACAACATCCGCCAGTTCTCAAATCGTGTTCCAGATGCAGATCTAATACGCTGACATCCTGGGTATTATTCTGCCCAGAAGCTGGCCCGGCATTTCCTTTCCCTGCAGTCAAATCCATCTCCTTTGGCTGCCAGAAGCCTTCCTGTTGCTGGAAGGCTGCATCTGAATTTCCCATCAGTGTCTGAGAGAACATGCTGAGATTTTCCCCAGAGGCCACGGACTCGTTCTCACTTGTCTGCAGATCGGTTCCCTGTTCAGGCCTGGAGACAGTCCAGCAACTGGAAGGGCTTCCCTGGGGAATGCCTTCTTCCGAGTGGAGCACAAAATTGTACTGAATTTGCACCTGGGGCCCTGGGCTTCCTTGCTGCGGGAGGTCAAATGGCACTGATTCGCTGCCTGCTCGGATAACAAAGAGAACATGGGCATAAGTTAGACTGCTTTTAAAAAAAAACAGGGCTTGGTGTCATTCTTTGGCACAAAGTATGCAAAAAGGCACGTTTCCCTGTTCAGGTGTTTTAACATGTTTTATATTTTGTGGCATTGGGGTGGTGGTTTACATTTGGCTTCTTTTCTGATATAGCTGCAGGTTCGACATTCACAAGGCAGAAGCCCAAGACTCTCT